TTAATCAAGGTCCTTTGCCATCCTTCCTCAACGCTATAAATAAACAAGGTGACCGGAAATCGAGTTATTCTCAATCGAGACAGAGCCCGAGCACATTAACGCCAGTAGAAAAATATTTCTTGGAATCCATTGGCCTGAAAGTGCAAAATGGCGGCGGCAGCAGACTCGTTAAACGTCTTTCAAAGCGTACACTTTGACGAAACGATTGTTAAATCCGATATTCACACCTATCTTCCATACGGAGGATCTTCGGATTACGGACTTTCCAGTGAAATACGAATATTAATTCAAAATCAAGAGCTGATAAGCGCCACCTACGACAGTTTTTTGTACTTGGAAGGAAAAATTGAATGGAGTCAACCGGAAGGAGAGGGCGCCATCGTAAAGACATGCAACCTAACAAACAATTTCGCGCCATTCCTTTTCGAAGAAATCCGCTATGAGTTGGGTGGTCAGAAAGTGGATGTATGCAGGAATCCTGGTATTACATCCTCACTGAAGGGATACGTATCGTATACGTCTACTGAAAGCAAAGGTCTCAAACATTTGGGATGGTCCCCCACCGATGAATCCCTTCAAGTAGATTTCAATAAGAGCAACAAGGAGAAGCATTTCGCTGTTTGCATTCCGCTAAAACACATATTCGGATGCATGGAGGACTATCGACAGGTTATCGTAAACATGCGACAAGAATTGGTATTAATTCGTGCTAGAAGCGATGCCAATTGCTACATCGGTACCGCCGACGATGCAACAATAACATTAACAAAAATTCAATGGAAAGTTCCTCACGTGACCGTTAGCGATAGCGCCAAAATTAGCCTATACGAACGCATCAATAAGGATGCTATAATCACAATGCCATTTCGTCAATGGGAACTGTACGAATTGCCCGCTTTAAAACAGGCACAGTCGGATATATGGCCAATCAAAACTTCAACTCAACTAGAGAAACCACGATGGATAATTGTGGCATTTCAACGAAGCGGTAAAAAGTTTTCACACGAAGCAAGAGCCGCCAATTTCGATAACATCAATATTCGAAATTTAAAACTGCATCTCAACTCGGAAAGTTATCCGTACGAAGCGATGCATTTAGATTTTAATGCCAACAAATACATCATTGCATATCAAAACTATTTAAACTTTCGGCGCGATTATTACTCGAAAGATGAGCATCAAGACGCCCTCTTTGACTATTTGTATTTTAAAAGTTGCCCCATCTTTGTGCTGGACTGTTCAAAGCAAAACGAATCTCTGAAGCATTCGACGGTAGATGTTAAGTTGGAAATGGAGTCGATGGAGGCCTTCGAGGCGGGAACGGTTGCCTATTGTCTGATCCTGCACGACGCACTAATTCAATACAATCCTCTGACCGGGGAAGTGAAGAAACTATAATTTGTATTTATTTAAAATGTATAAATAAAATGTAATGATAAAAAATGTTCGTAGTCTTATTTCAACCGCGACCCCAAAATGAAGGTAGTGATTCAGAAGCAAAAGCTGCTCGTTCAAAATCTCGACACGACGCCAAATGTGGACCACAAAAAAACCCATGGCGTATTACTTCCAAACAGCGTAAGATGTCTCATTTGTGGACCGTCCAATTGTGGTAAAACGAATACGATGCTCAGTCTGCTAACTGAACCTAATGGTCTTCGCTTCAAACACGTGTACGTCTATTCCAAATCGCTGAATCAGGACAAATATAGGGTTTTGGGGGAAATTTTACAACCAATGAAGGATATTGGCTGCTTCACATTCAACAAGAACGCGGACATTATGGAGCCCAGTGCTGCCAAACCTAATTCGGTTTTTATCTTTGACGATATCGCTTGTGAAAAACAGGATAATATTAGAGCGTACTTTTCAATGGGCAGGCATAACGCCATCGATTGTTTCTACTTGGGTCAGACGTATTCTAAAATTCCTAAACAATTGATTAGAGATAATGCCAACTGAATTGTCCTATTCGAACAGGACGACTTGAATTTGCGACATATTTATGAAGATCATGTCGCACCCATAATAACCATGCAGCTGTTTCGAGAGATGTGTTCGGAAAGCTGGCGAACCCCGTATGGGTTTATGGTGATAAATAAGGATGCGGATGTGCAAAACGGTCGTTTCAGGAAAGGCTTCGATCACTATATAATACCATGAAAACATGTTTATTGTTCAGTTCAACTGTAACAGCTTTAACAGCTTTACCAGCTTTTAACAGCTTTAATACCTCTAACAGCTTAACAGCTGAACGGCTTTAACTAACAGCTGAACAGCTTTAACCGCTGAACAGCTTAACAGCTTTATTGGGGGGAACAGACCCTGTTCCAGTTGATCTGTTCATTTGATATCGGTTTACCTGTTCCGTTGATCATGGATAATAAGGAGATGGCCTTGAAACGACGAATAGTTCAGGCGCGTAAAGCGATACAGCAAAAGTACAATCGTCTCAAAGCGGATCGTTTTATTAAAGAAGTGGAATTTGTACGAACGTATAAACCGCTAATTCAACCGCTAGCTCAGATCGTAAAGAAAATCGAACCGCCGTCATCATCGGTTATAGAAACGAAAAAGGAGGAGCCATCAGAGGACGAAGTATTTACATCACCCCCTAAAAAACGTCAATCTCCTGTAAAAAGAAAGTCACCACACCAACGTACGACTCCTGCGATACCTTATTACTCGCGAGTGAGACGAAGGCCCTCTTCCCTTACCGAGATCAGTCCGCTGGCTAGACTTCCCTACTTTCAAAAATATCCGCCAACTGATATTAGTCCTATGGTTAGACCTTTTCACCCCACGGCTACTCCATCATTGAGACAGCCGCCATCATTTCTACAGAGTACAGTGATAGGAGAGCATCAACTGGAGGAAGAAGAAGACGAGTCCTCTATTGCATCAGAATCATCTGCTTCATTACTTGATATGCAAGGTTCGCAAGCCTTTTTGGAACAATACAAACACCTACCACGTATATACGTTGAGCGCATGATAAGAGATACGAGTAATGCAATTGACACCACCTTTGGAATTCATTATAATGTCGAAACGGATAAGTGGAGAATGGGCAAGACTGAGGTGACGATAGATGACGAAGATTTGGTCATTAACGGGAACCGGTACAAAGGTACTGCGGGGCTATACGAACTTATCATCATGAATGAACCGGATGAATCGCTAGTATCCAAGCAGGATAGAAGTAACTATAAGCAGATAATAATAGCAACTCATGTCGCACGGCGCAATTACGACCCCACAGAACAGATTCGTGGCAATAAGAGCAAAAAGTATACGCTTATAATAAAGCCTCTACTAAAGGAGGAGGAAGCGGCGAATAGGGGGCGTGCGAAATCGGGAAGCGGTATTACTCTATTCAAGGAACTCGACCGGCCGATCGAATTCAAATACTGGAATAGCGTGCATGAATTGATTAGAGACCTAGAGGTTTTATGGGGTGAAAAAATGGCAGGCAACACAGGAGTAAAAAATGATATAATATCAATCGTGGAAGAGCTGTACGAGGAGGGTTACATACAAAAGCCCACGCAGCGATTTTTACGTCAACTAGTATAAATACCCCATTTCCGTCTTCCCCGCCTACATTCATCATGGATAAATTCGGACGTTCTCATACCCATGCTCAATTTGGAAAATTGCTAAAGACAAAATTTTCCATTACCGACGATACTATAAATGTGGAACGTAAGAGACTAAGTAATGTTGAGGATCCTATTGAACGTCATGATGCTCTAACCTTACAACATTACCTATCAACAAGACTGGATCTCAATGGAAATCGTTTGATGAATGTGGCCGATCCAGTAGACGATGGCGATGCCATAAATAGAGGATACTTCATGTATTACATGCAGATTGCGAAAGTACCTGTAGACGGTCTTCGTAATTACGTGGAGGCACTAGAGGAAGAGTTGAAGGCGGTCAAAGCAACTCTACATAAACTAATAGAGGATGCAGCAGGTGGTGAACGAGTTACACAAAGCGGCGCGCAAAAACTTCCCCCGTAGACGTACCATCATTAAAGGCTTCGATGATCTTTGGCAAGCAGATCTAGCCGAATTTATACCTTACGCAAAAGAGAATAAAGGCTACAAATACATATTGGTAGTTATCGATTGTTTTTCAAAATATCTATGGACGCGAGGGTTGAAGACTAAAACGGGTGAGGAGGTGACAAAAGCCGTACAGGCTATTTTCAAATCTACGAGACGCAGACCGAAAAATCTACAGACCGATGCCGGGAAGGAATTCTATAACAAATCATTCGCCAAATTGATGATGCAAGAACGCATTAATCACTATTCCACGTACAGTACGAAAAAGGCTGCACTGGCCGAGAGGGTTATAAGAAGTATAAAAAACCCCTTGTACCGGCAGTTTAGTTTACGTGGAAAATATGTATGGATAGATGCAATCGAATCGATCACGAGCGAGTACAATAATCGTAAACATCGAACAACGGGGATGAAACCGATCGAAGTGAAGGCCGATACAAAGCTGGACGCCTACCGCCACATCAAGCTCTTCAACAAGAGATATCGTTTTAATGTTGGCGATGTTGTTCGAATTAGCAAATTTAAATGTATATTTGCGAAGGGCTACACACCCAACTGGTCTAGCGAACTATTCAAAATTGTAAAAGTACGAATAACCAATCCGGTGACGTACTTATTGGAAGACATGAATGGAAAACCGATTTTGGGTGGATTTTATGAGCAAGAGTTGCAAAAGGCCAAATATTCAGATGTATATTTGGTTGAAAAAATACTCCGCCGGAAGAAGGATAAAGTTTATGTGAAGTGGTGGGGCTTAGAAGAAAAATCTTGGATCGATAAAAATGATATAGTTTAATATTGTAATTTTTTTTTATAAATAAAAACAAATATTTTAGAGTGTTTTTTTTTTATTGTTACGTTTAAGGAATTCTCATAACCTATCTACTGCATCTAGTGTTGATGCTTAAATAAAACTCTATATATGCAGGTGCTATTTTATTTTCCATAAATATACATTTGATAAATAGATATTTACAATGAAAGCTCCTGGATCGTTGCACTGGTTCAGCTTACAGCTACAATTATAAAAAATTAATTTTTCAGCTTCTCACTCCCGATACACTACCTGCTCGTAGCCCCAAGGAAGAGTGTTAATGCAGTCTGGTTGAATAATCCGCTTATCGTCGTGCGGACTAAGGACCACTTTATTCTGTTTGATTGTAAATACAGAATGCTTTTTCGATCTGATGAGGTGCTGATGACTCTTTATAATGTCGGCATTAAACAGTGAGTTCTTGTAATCATCTATGGTGATTGTCTTAATACTCGCTGCAGTTGATCCCTTAGATTTTTTAACTACATCTTTTGTATCTACGCGATAAGCGTACATTTTAGCGCGAAGACCAACAAATTCCAGCATAATTTTGCCATTGCTTTCGTCCTTCATTAGACCGGGAACCTTTTTATTCACTAGCGGTATTCCAAAAACGTTATCGCGCTCATAACTGGACGTATCGAATAGATGTATATCCTCCTTTATCATCGACTCGTATATGTCGGGTACGTTGGTGAACGAGTAAATCAGACTGTCGGTATCGGTGTATAAGAGTTTAGCGTTATTTTGGAATTTAGGCAGTACGTAATCGTAATGGAAATTGTAAAGGAACGTTTTGGAAATGTCTAGAACCGCAAAACCCACATATATCGGTTTGTTGAGGAACACCTCTAATCGATTCATTTCAATAATGACCATATCGTTATCAAATAAGGTGCAACTATGAAAATTTGGTTTTGCAATGCACGCCATTGCTCCATATCTTCCCTCGTAGCGAGATACGAGACGTACATCTTTATATTTCCTTACGTTCCCCATTAATTTCCCAAACACACTGTTGACCCATCAATTTGAAAAAGTGTATTTCGAATTCGTTTTTTGCTTGCTTTCTCATGGTCGCATTTAAATCAACGTACGTACGTAGCCACGGCGATTGCTTGAAACGTAAGACGTGATGTATTTTCACTAATTTTAATCCGTGTCGGACGTACAACTTTAAATTCCGATAATGGACGACGTAGTTACGTTTCGCGTATAATGTCAGCAATAGTTTCTTTAATTTCGAGCCTGGGGGAATTCTATGTTCGGGAGCCAATGGCAGCTGACTGTGGGTCTTATGAATATGATTGGGATAGTCAAAATCGCATTCTAGAATGTAGCCAATGTCCGAATCGTCTGGATGATTTAATATGTCTAGCGTTTCAAAGTTTTCTACAAACGAAAATTCTCCGCATGGAAGCGGCTCACACATTGTGCGCCCATAAAGCGAGTTTACGTCCAAGTACATTAAGTAGTTCGTAGGGAGGTTGGGATCGTATCCGCTTAACATATATTTATTGTTCGCTTTAGCATATCGAGTACTACACTGAGTTACACCGCCTCGAGTTCCACTCTCGATGAAAAGAATTTGATCGATATCGGTTAAAAGTTCCAGTTTAACACCCGTAATTTTTAACATGGCGTCAAATGCGAGCCCTGGAGCCGTGTAATAGTGCAAAGGATCCAGCTGATACGTTTGCATGCAAGTGATTCGGAAAGTTTCGAAAATATCGGCCAAAAGAAGCACGTCCGTTTTTAAGTAAGGATCGGAGTATTGACCTAAGGTTTGAATGGAAAATACGCGCCACACGTTTGAAGCGTGCTCGTACTCTTCGTCAGTAATGTCCTCGTTATGTAAATGACTAAAAAATGCATCCTTTGGCGGTAAAGCGGTCTCATCTAGCTTTTCCCAACAATCCAAATATTCGTAGGGGAAAACACCTTTTCTCGTTAGCAGATTGAACTCGGTGTCGTTACGACTATAGGATTTAGTGATAGTTTTCTGTTCGTCACCCAAGTACGCTGATAATTTATCAATACTACTACTCATAAATCGGAACGAGTCGATAAATCGAAAAGAAATTTTTGTATTGTCCACGTATTTTGTAAAAGAGATGTACTTTTCTTTGTTTAATGGGAGCAATGTTATGTGGCCCGGTAAACCAGTGGATAGTTCTCGAATAAAAAAATGCGCATCGTAACCGCTTAGATTATGAAATACGACGGGAATTACGGTGCTATCTTGGTAGTTTATGTTGCACCGAGAGTGTGAAGCGCCCCTATACAGACCTCTGCCCTTATGATTATGGTCCCTACAGCGAATGTCCCCATCCACGAAAGGTTTTTCACAAATGTGACAGTGCGTGGCATTCTCGAAATCTTTGCGCTGTTCATCACTCATCGTCTCCATGGGAACTGGGTTGTTAAAAATTGTATTCGTCCAAACTGCAATGTCCCCTAATTGTTTAATAAACCATTGAATGCAGTCTGCGCCCCGGTACAATGAAAATGTTGAAAGAGACTCATCGTATGAACATTTCAGATAGAACGCGATACTAAAGGGTATGTGTTTCTGGAATAATTTCGTACAATCATCGTAGTTGCCAAGATCGCCATCGCATTTAACTAGAATGCTTTCAAGGTCAGCGTAAATAGCGAACGGGACCTTCTCCTTGTACGCGTAATGCGCAAATTCTAAATATTTCTCTGTTTCGTTTGGTACCCTAGCAGCGCACTCGTTTATTTGCTGACAGTAGGTAGAGTGTTTCGCAAGAAGGGCGCTGGAGGAGAAATGGTTTAAGCATACATTGCAAAAAAATTTCTTATGACCCCACTTCGATAGTTGCGAAGATAATAAGGCCGACATATTTTTAATCCAAGCAAAATGGTAATGAGTTCGCGGACTGTCTTTGGAAGATAATACTAATAAATTTACGGTGCGAGGAGCATTGCGGTTGCTACTCACCATGAATGGCATAACACGCTGCTTTTCGACACAGTACAAATTAATAGAGAGATTGTTCAATTTCTCAAACTTCTTTACATCATTAAGCTTAATGGGGAATTGAATATTGCCACGATTTAACACGGTATCGAAATGAGGATATTTTGACACCCTATCTACATGATTGTTCGCCGGATACAAAGCCGAAACTATTGCCCAAAGAAAGCAAAATTCGTCATTATTTTTTACATTAATAACCGCATGCTTTCGAGCGATAAATTCTGGCGTTTTAATGAAAGTTGAAATACCGCCCCTTATGGGAACGTATTTGTTTATGTTTACTTTTAAATTGTGTATTTCCTGTAAAGCGAACCCGGACCCTTCTTCCTGATATAATGAAAGCTTATTCTGTAACCTATCGATCACTTCATTGACATAACACTCGCGCAAATCAGTTCCCCCGTCAATAATCAAATTTTTCGTTGCGAACGTTTTCAAAGTGACATCGAGATTTTGAGGATTAATGAAACTACATACAAGAGCGACGTTTACTTTTAACATTGACTTACGTGACATAACGCTTACCTTTTCAGTGAAAATATCGTAAGCCTTTTGCAAAAAAATTAACGGGTCTTTGTATTCGAAATTCACAATTATACCAGTTAAAAGGCGAGATTTAAAACAGGAGTGCACTGAGCGCCAGATTAGAGGACGCACATTACCATTACCTAATCCACCACCTTGAACGTTACTTAGCTTTTTCTCTAGAAGCAATGCATAATATTTAAGAAGTGCCAAATTTGATTCTAATCTAGCCGGATTTTCCTTTTTATTATATATTTTATTACTAAGAGCTTTTTCTACTATGGAAACATTATCACGTAAAATTGATAAATGACGAACAATCTCATCCCTATGTTTTAATAAAGAAATACACTCCCGTGTCAGATTTACGATCCGAGTGCTCATTAATCCTACCGGATGATACCATATTTGCACACGCCTGTTACGTTGCAATGTCACTGCACAGATGTGCGACTTGCACACGTTTATCTGTTTGAACTGAGGGTTCACGGGTGTCTTTATATTACCATCCTATGAGTCATGGTTTTTTCCAAGAAGAGTGCCTCCTTTGTTCTCACTTCTCAGAATGTTCTATGAGTCATCACCTTTAACCTTCATTTAGTTCAGGTAAGCTCCTTAGTTTTGACAACAACCACCCGGTTGCAGAATAGTAATTGTGTAATTATTAAACAGTATGAAGTTTCGATGAGAGAGACATGGAGAAATTAATTTTTAATCATGCTTATGCCCTCCGGAGACACTCTATGCGGCATTTTCATTTATTGTAATTTTTGTTTGGTTTTTGGGGACGTTAAACGGGGAAGGTATAGATTTGCGTCTATTAATTGCACGGCATGTGAAACTCCCGCATGAAATGGTGTATATAAAAATATGTTTCTAAATCTTTGTTTAGCGATGCAAATAGGGGTCTAACTGAGAAAGAATTTTATTCAAAAATGCATACGGTCATTTTTTCAATAAATATTTTTATACAATAACTAAAAATTGCATATTTCTGTGAGCTGCCGCTCGCGCCTCCCCTGTAACTTTAGAACGGGCGCCTGCAATTATTCATCCTTGAACGCCTTATAATTATAAGACTCTGATGTATCAATGAAAGTCATGAAACTTTATAGTTGGCATTATACAAATATTTGCATGTGACAATTTTTTATGGTAGACATTTTTCACATGTATGCAAAACGCCTCTTAAATCCCGAACAGTGCAAAGGGCTATTTTGATCAGCACTTTTGTGTTGCACATCGCCTTCCAAGAACTAAAATAGTACAATGTACAAAGTGTCTTTTGTTTTGACCGTTGTTCGCAGGAAATTGCAGGAGCAGTTCGTATCTTCACGTCATCGCCCGATTTTCCTCAAACGCAATTTTTTCTAAGAACACCATTTGAGCATCGAACTAACTTACAGAAATAAAACATGCTACGTAAACGTATGTAAAATGTTGGGCAGATATGAAAGTCAATTTCGAAGAAACGAGAGAAGCTTTGCTTATATCATTTTTAAATCATGCTAAAGAAGGCAGTATTTCCTACAAAAATGTCCTTGATGCAATCTGGTTGCGGTTAAAAATTGTTGGACTTGAAACGCCGTTCCAGGAAAAAATTTGAGTCTTCTTAGCCTTGTAATTAAAATCGTACCTAGTAATTTTTCGCTAAAAATCCCCATAAATGCCTGTATTATAATTGAAAATAGACCCAATGCTTTGGAAATGTTTCATTAGTGAGATTATGAATGCGATGAACGTTATCGCAATTCTCTCATTTCCATTAGTTATTTTTAGGAGCAGGTACGTTCTTGACGAACACAAAGTCTTTTGCGTTCCCAATAAGTTTACTAAACTGTAACAACGAGAAAACTATTGGATATGACTGGAGAAATGTCATTTTTAATCGCGCAAATTGTTATCCACACTGTTCACGTAAAATGTTTGTAGCTAAACATGTCCTCAGTGTGATAAATAGGTGCATTTTTTTACCTCGAATCGTAACTATAAGCTAATAACGTATTAGCATTGAGTAAAGAATTTATTTATTCAAGCCTTCAAGCGATAGGCGATGTTATAATTACTTAGATGTGTTTAATTAAGACATAATTTTTTATACAAAATGAAACCAAATTATTAAAATTTGAGGTGCACGATTATTCGTTCTTGAATCCGTATACTCTTCTTTTACCTGAATCATGAATGCATTTATCTAGTTCGTTAGGCATTTCTGTGAGCATCCGTCATCGCATACGATTCTTAGAATTGGTACAAGGTGCGTACTGCATCCAATTTCAATGTTGCAAAGGGTGAAAGAGGTACAATCGATTAAACGTTCTTGAATCGCTTTGCTATGCATATTTTCAACTGGTGCTGCACCGTTATCAATACAACACTAACACAAGCTGCATGTGAAATAGTTGCAGCTATTTTTAAACGACATGGATGTAATCATGAGAGAGCGACCACTCCACAACTAAAGTACCTATTTTCTCATGGGCTGTTAATTTTATTTCGAAACGCTAGCGCAGTTCAGAACCACTCAATCCTAGTGACTTTTCTAGGAGGATTTTAGTGTGATTTAGAATCACCCGTACACTACCATCGACAAGAACCCTCAGGCGCAAACCGAATTACTTTAGCTCGGACGCAAACCTTCGAACTTTATCTCGAGCACAAACCTTGACGTTAGCACAGGCGCAAACCTCGCTACCGCAGTTCAGAACCACTCAATTCTAGTGACTTTTCTAGGGGGATTTTTCATCTAGTGAGATTTAGAATCGGTCGTACACTACCATCGGCAACAACCCTCAGGCACAAACCGACTTACTTTAGCTCTGACGCAAACCTCCGATACTTTATCTTGAGCACAAACCTCGACCCCCTTGACGTTAGCACAGGCGTAAACCTCGCTACCACAGTTCAGAACCACTCAATTCTAGTGACTTTTCTAGGGATTTTCATCTAGTGAGATTTAGAATCAGCCATATATTACCATCGACAAGAACCCTCAGGCACAAACCGACTTACTTTAGCTCTGACTTTGAGAACGCGTTAGCTTAGACTCACTTTAGTTCAAGACACAACCCGCGTGACCTTCAACTCTTAGCTCGGACACAAACCTCCGATACTTTAGCTCAGACGCAAACCTCGATCCCTTCACCTTGACGTTAGCACTGGCGCAAACCTCGCCAGCAGAGTTACAAACCTAGTTACTTTTCTAGTGACTTTTTGATTTAGAATCGACCCCTATATCACTAGCAGAGTTTCAACCCTCTCGAGTGACGCAGAGTTTCAAACCTAGTTACTTTTCTAGTGACTGTTAGCAGAGTTTCAAACCTCTCGTGACCTTCTAGTGACTTTGAGCAGAGTTTCAAGCCTACACATGGCCTTCACTTTTGAGACCCCAAATGACCTTGAACACGCGTATGGGAATTTCAATGCAGGACCTGGCCCCAACACCGAGCGCAATAACCCATGGGGTGACTAACCCAATGGCTTAGCACACGCGCAGTAGTTCAAATGACCTTGGAATTGGTGCATGCGCAGTAGTATCAAATTTGGAGTTGGCGCATGCGCAGAACTCAAGGTCAAAGTGGTCCAGGATCGGTGTTGCTCTACTACTATAGAGACGGATGTCGTAAAGTGCGCAAGACGTGCTTGCCGTATTTCTACATTGTGCTTTCCCGTAGCCATCAACAATAGATCAACGTGTAGACGGTAGAAGTAATTACCACCAATTAGCACCAATCGAACAGTTTAGAAGTTGACCCACTGCGCTTATATAAAGAAGCAGGCAGCCATTACACGTACAGTTATCGTTGTTAGTAATGCCCCTATTTATGAAGCAATTATCTTTCAGATCGAAGATTGCTATGAAAAGATTGGAGGAGGCTTTTGTTTCGTCGTTCTATTTTTCCTTAAAGAAGTTAGCACTGCTCCATATCCCTTGCTGTATTTAAGTAATTTTAATTTTCTATTGTTAACACCAAATAACCTTTGCCTAGGAGGCCATTGTTTTCCTTTTTTCTCGGTCACGGAGCGGAAACGGTTTCGACTAAGGTCCCTATTACATATCCATCCCTGAAGAGCCAAGCATACAGCGATATCTCAGTTATGAGGTTCAGTAACGGTCGACTCTCAAGTCTACCACATGGCACTCTAAAACATGTTTCGGGCTGGATCTACCTCTTAATTGGGTAAGACAACATGTACCAGTGAAAAACTGCACAAAGTTTCCTAGGCACGCCCTGATAGATTTTTTAGGATTGGGTATTGCAAAATATGGAGAGTAGTATCATTATAGGTCAGGTTTCTTCAAAATTTTGTTGTGGTATCTTTTTAGGCGAATGGTTTCCGAGTACAAACATGCCGAGTTAAATATGCATACGAAAGCTTATGGGGCAAGACTATCGTGACGATAGACCTAGAATTACAGGGGGATTGTATTTCTTTTGCATCCGTCGTCGTTATCAGGCCTGGTTTTCCTATATGCTGCGAACTTAAGTGAACATACTGTATAATTTATGTATGGACCCGTTTAGAAACAAAATTTTGTATTTGAATTTAACGTATGATGAAATTACACAACTTTTGAAAATCATGTGGCAGTCAGTGCCATAGGAGATGAAATTTTCTTGAGCGGAAATACATCATTTAGTCTGGTTTTCTACTTTTGCGCTGATCGGTTCTGTCCGTATTTGTGAACTTCGAAGAATTACAAACGCTTCTTCTAAAAACACTCAGATGGTACCTACTTCATTTGTGGTTAGTTGTATATTTACCTACGGAAATTGAAAGCCTTGCAAGTGGTAATTTGCCAGATAAAACCGTTGTTGATTACAGCTATTGAGATAAATTGAATAGAATTACATCAAGTTACACGTACACTTTATTTATTAATAGAGTAAAGTGGTGCAATTACTATTACAACAAAAATTAGACATGAAATTGCTATACGTTTGCTAAGTTCACAGTTGCAGCTTGTGTAGGTATTTTCTCCCGGCGTGATTGATTTAATATCAATTCGTCATTGCGAATTTGAGAAATAGTAAATGATTCGTGTATAGGTGTGTTTGGGTTAATGTTTATAACTTTCTATTAAACTGGGGTAAGGCGAGCTTGCTGAAAAATAATGCCAGTCTAGACGAAATCCATTACATAATTACCAATTATGCGAATGGAATAATTCCTCATTGGTACAATTTGCAGTTTATTATCCTTGCATTTTACATAGCAATAAATCACTTAACATTAACCGGAGTCTGATAATTAAATTTCTCCAATTATACGCTATACAATTACGACTATAGGTAAATGTATTGTTGTGTAAACATCCGTACCATACCAATGATACAAATAAAATAACG